TGGCTCAGAGCTGAAGTCCTTTTAGGCTTTCTTTGGATGCATGAGCATGCTGGATACCAGCAACAATTTGCCCTTAAGCCATGTGATGACATTGAGTATGAGTACCCTTCTTATTATCCCTTTCATGAGTGGATTTAGCAGTGGTGTATGCTTTGTTCTCTGGAGTGTTCTTCTGAACCAGTCACGAATTTTCCATGCCACATAGCCAGGTGCTGTATGTGTGTAAAAGTCCTTCTTTTTTTTTGCTGCTAACCAACTAGTTGCCCTCGGGTATGATTCTGGGCAATACTTGCTGAAGGCACCTCTCCCTATAGGTAGCACATAGAAGACCATGTCAGGGTTGTCTTCTTCTGCCCTACAGAGGCCTCTAACACTGTCCTGTTGCCTAAGTTTCCAAGCTTGTGTCCTCGCATATTCTTGTATGTCCCCTAGCCTTGTTCCGTGGCATGTAATGCACACCTTGGCATCACAGGATAAAAGCTTTACTCCAGCCAGCCATGGCACAGCCCCTCCCATTCTTTCAGACTTACTATGCTGAAACAAGAGCAAAATTTAGTAGTTGCCTCCAGGCACCACATGGAGCCCAGAGGAAAAGCCATGCCAATGGTGATGCCCTGTGCAGTCATGACTTCGCTAAGGGCAGTCATGGATGCAAGTAATTTTGGATCGTTTGTCCTGGCATTGTCTTCTCTGAATTGGATGCCTTTAGAAACTGAAAGCCAGCCTTGAGGTATCTCTAGTAGCCCATCTTAATTCTATAGAAACTATCAATGACCCTTTCTCGCTAATATAATTCTCTTCTCAATAACATTTGCTCCTGGCTGCTATACTTGAAGGTGATTAGGAGGTAGAGAAATCGGGGACATGTCAATTGCATTGATTTGTTGCACAAATGTAAGATAGTACACGCACTAACAAGCTTGCTTTTTGCTCTGCATCATTACTTAGATCAGGATCTCCATTAATTTACCTTTGTCTGAGAAAACCAAAAGCAGGGGCCAGTTTCTTGTCAGACTAAAAGGGAATCACTATAGGCTCTGTTTATAATAGGTAGACTGAAATAGCACGTTGCACGCCCTCATCAGTGTGTAGTAGCAGGGGTGCTACAACAAGGTTGTTCATGAATTGCAGAATGCTCATGAGCTGCGTATCTTTTGCAGCTGCAGATGGTGGCTTTATGAGCCTTTTGCATCAGTTATCAAATCTGCAAAAACGTTCATCACAATTGTTCTGTAAAAGTTTTTCTCTGGCTTGTACCTGTTGAACTGTGTGTTTAGATGCAATTTATGGACATCGATTTCCACATGCAGAAAGCCTTACACAATTGACACAGCAGACAGAAACGTACAGACCATTTTGGAGTAAATTTTGCCCCTAAATGGTATTCAGTATAGAGCCAGTTTATCTTCAGTCTGCACAATGAATAGAGTGTAATTTACACAGTGCAGGCAAATAACTGTAACATATTGTAAAATTTAATTGTACATATCAAACTAATAAAAATCAGGAGGAGGACCAAGCATTCTCCGGTAAATGCCCAGACAAGAGTAGAAAATCTTCTTAATATATCATAGCATAGATATTGAGCTTAAATATTTTATGAACTTGTACTGTTCGTATAAAGGCAAGGTTCCAAAGATATATGCAGAACTGCTAGGCTAAACATAATACACAATGAAAATGGAAGTTTAGGGGAAAAAAGCCCGTTATCAAGAGCAGGAGAAACACTGGTAGTTGTTCGGATCCCGTCTTTCATTGTGCAGTCAAGGCACCCCAGAGCGACTGCACATTACCGGGGCACCTCTAGAAATAACAGCGACTCCCAACTCAGCTGTGTGCTAACCACCTCCCTCCCTTGCAGAACAGGGGTTTGCTGGGAAGTTTGCAGGAGTACACCACCAAGACAAAATGTTCTCATTACTTTTTGGGCTATAAGTGGATGAAAAAAATTTGATATGCATAACAGACCAAGGCTAAAACTTCCAAACGTTGTGCAATGTGTGTTTCGGTTCTTAGTCATGGGCAAAAGCAATTCCCTTTATGCCATAAAACTCTTGGTGTATTTTACCATCCTGTCTTGGGTTACTTTTATGTTATGTTTCTGATTGTAATGCAGAATATTAAGACTGAGGTTATAAAATGAAATACGCAGGAGGACTCTAGTTTTCCCAGGAAACATTGTGGATGTTAGTAGCCGTTACAAGAGAAGGGAAAAGAATTATTTTTTTTTTAATCTTCAACCTGAAAAAAAAGTTGACAAGAAAAAAAAAAGTGAAATCCAGCACAGTAAGACAGAGAGCAGTGACATGAAAAGTATTCAGAAAAAGACGATCTGGTATTTGTAGCACAGTAGGACAAGGTTGTGGACTCGCTTATGGCCATGCACGAGGATTCCTACTTCATGATCTGCGCATTTAAAATCTTTGGAGCGAAGAAGTATGTTCAAGCAGCAACATGGATGTTATCCGTGATAATATAAAACTACTCTTTCAAAAAAAACCCACTTGCTATTTTCAACCTCTACTGTGGCTCAAAGCTAAAATACTCATTTCTGTAATTTCGTCAATGGATATTTTTTACAGTGATTATTTCTATGAATGTGTTCATCATTATGCTTTCCCCACAGCTTGGCTCTGATCCCTAAGTTTCAGCACCCACCGTGTTGTCCAGGTGGTCCAGAGCGACATCTCTTTCCCAGTTTGTGCCAAGGTCATGATGATCTTGTAGCCACCTTTGGTGTCTCATCACTCCCATTTTCTGAGCCATGAATAATCCCAGGCAGCCCTCGTCGCCTGCCCACATTTCAGGCTCTACCATATTATACCCTTCCAGTGATTCTGCCTGATCTGGTGGGCTCCAGAAAAGAAGGCAGGGGGTAAACCCCTTAATCTCACCCGCTTTGTAGGAGCAGATGGAAACAGGCACTTTCAGACAGGTCCCAGCAAGAGAGAAGGGCACAAAACAATATGGGTGGCAAATGTGTAGCTACTGAAAATGTGAGAATCCTGCTTTGGCGTGGGGCTCTGCATGTGGGTTATACATCCTGGGCTGCCTTTTGATTCATTTTTGATGCTCAGCTTACCTTTCAGTGTTGATATGCTGGTCATGCAGTCTGTTTTTAAAGACAAAGCCCAGTTCCAAAATGTAGCATTGGATTTTCTACACTGAAGTTCCAGCAAATACCTTCCACAGCCACCTGCACTGTCTGAGAGTGGAGCCTGGGCTGCCTGGTGCACCTTGCCTACCCTAGTCTACCTCGCGTTTAGCAGCACTGAATAACGCTGACCAAGGACTGGGAATTTGTATGAGTTGCAGTGGCCCACAGCAAAACCTCAGAGCTGTTGGCCTCAGAAGAGAGTTGAGGATCTGTGGAAGTAGCTGGTGTCTTCCACTCAGAGGCATTTGTTTCTCTGCTTCTGGGTGGCCATAGATAAATAAAACCTGGTCCAGATGGCTTAAAAGGAAAACCACAGCCCTTTTTGCTGTGGCGCTGTCTCCTCTTAGCCCAAAATACGAATTATTTCTTTGTCTCTTTGGCCATGATTTTTGTCTGTCTTCTAGCTCCAAAGAGGTGACTGTGATAAACCCGGGAGAGGGGGAGCTGCTCTCTCCTGTGTGATTTCTCCCTCTCCTCCACCAGTTCTGCAGACCCAAAGAGCAAGGGCCAGCTATTCTCACCAGCGCATTTCATCACCCTGAGCAATGGGCGGGCCACGTGGGGGATACCAAATCCAAAGCTTTTCTGTGCAGAGCGGTCAAGATCTGTCAGCTTCAAACATCAACCGTGCCCATGTGAAACAGGAAGGTGAAAAAATTTTTGGAGCAATTCAGTCTCCACAGAAGGTGGAGGTGTAAGAAACATTTCTTTTTTCAGATGCTCCCCTGAGCAGACTGTGAAAAGGAAGCAGAGACTTTGCAGAGAGCAAATGAAGGAGCACAGAAATGAAGGGGAAAATGCAGGACAGTGTTTTTGCATGCATTTACATGAAAATTCATCAAAACTATTACTTACAGAGATAAAGTAATGTTACTCATTGAGATAGGCTGAGCTAGATGAAAACAAACAGGACACTGAGTTTGAAGACAACACATGCTACTACATCACAGAGCGACTTTGGTGGAAGTATTTCAGTTAGAGGTCTTTGAGAACGAGTATTGGCATTTAGAAGTGTAATTTCTGCCATGCGACAGAAGAATTCATTGTAGATCGGCCGATGAACCTTGAGCCCATAACCACCCCTGTAAAGGACTGGAAGCTCTCCTTGCTCAAGGGTAACACGAAACCTTCCAGGTAGAACTCAAATTGCATTTTAAAGAATGTGTGATGGAAGCTTTTCCAACTGGATCAAGTCTTTAAACAATTTCATAAGGTTTACATTTCTCTCTAGTGTTCAGTTGCAAGCCTAGACTCTGCGAAGTCCATCATCTTCCACATGGATTCTCCAAAGAGTTAATTCTACTTAGGAAATGCTGAGATGAGAAGTTATGTAAAGCTCATTGTTTACTTCAGAGATTTTCTGTGGTGAACAGTAAGATTTTGCTGGGTCAAAACACATTATTGTATTTTTGATACTAAGTATTTTAGTGCTTAACGTTTTCCTGTTGAATGCATGAAGGTTTTTTTTCCCTGTCTTTTTTCCTGTGAGAGTTGTAACTTCTTTTGTAGTCACCCAGACTAACAGGTTGGCTAGAGACACCTTACCGAGTGTGCGATTAGCAGACACCATCACAGTCATCCTGTCTACATTCTGACTGTTTAAAGGTTATTAACAAGACACCTGATTTCTAAATGTTTGCCCTAGGCTGCAACCCTTTTAACGGGAAGTCTTCACCAGTTTGTGACTGAAGAAGATAGATTCCTTCTTCGATCAGAATAGTCTTTTTGTATTATTAAATAGTAATAGTCAGGTCAGATCACTTGTTGGGGGAAAACTGCAAGGAAAGGCTTTTCTCTAAGTAAGTTGTTATTCTAACTATCGCTGCTTTTTCTCTGCTTTCAGAGGCTGGCAACAAGAAGCTAAAGAGTACGATACAGAGAAGCACAGAGACAGGAATGGCAGCAGAGATGAGAAGTCGAATGGTTCGACAGCCAAGTCGGGAATCCACTGATGGCAGCATAAATAGTTACAGCTCCGAGGGCAAGTGAGTGGCATTAAAAACATCGGTGATGTAAGAAATCTTGGGATGTGAACAGAGGTCCCGGCTCTGGCTGAAGGGAATAGCTCTGTGTACAGATTCTTCCTCTTGAAATGTTTGCAAAACTGAACTTTTTTAGGCACATAGCACAAATTTCTTGCAAATTGAAAGAGGGCTTCTTAGGGATTCACGTTTTCCCTGTCATCCAGTGAGGTATTTTGTTCATCAAAAGACAGCTAAATTCAGACCGCATTATTCAAAACAAAGCATAGGGGTGCTTTGTCTTTGAGTTATGTTTGGATTAACTCAGAGTTAAACTTCAGATGTTGTATGTAAATCCTTGTGATATGAAACTCTGTTCAGTAATCCTATATACAAAGTAAGTTTAGTTTGGAATTGGTCCCAGTCTCTTATTGAGAATTGTAAACCCAGAGTCCAGCTGCCCCATCAGCTGAAATCAGGCTGACAACTGTGGGGACCGGGGCGGCTGCTGAGTGACTGGGTATGCAGGAAAGGAGAACAAAGGCAGATCTGGCCCAAAAGTGTGCACAAGTGCGCCAGCTTCCTCGCAGCTCTTGGTGGAACTCTACTGCATGTGCCAAGCCACAGTCGTTACTAGGGAATTCTTAGAAGATGCCTCCCCACAAAAGGGGGAAACGGCAATAGGCAAATCTGCCCAATGGACCTGGAAAAAATGGGAGACTGGGACTTCTTTGGCTTCATCTTTTTATGTGCTTACCGTGTTACCACAATTGCTACTGCACATTGCCTAAGACCCGAAGAGCCAGGGGCAGCCATGGTGCTGGCAAGGAGCTGTGTAAAGGTGTGGTTTCTCCATCATCAGATGATCTCACCACCCTAATTTTTTTACAGTGAGGGTGGTGAGGCACTGGTACAGGTTGCCCAGAGAAGTTGTGGATGTCCCATCCCTTTGAAGTTCAAGGCCAGGTTGGATGGGGTTCTGAGCAACCTGGTCTAGTGGAAGGTGTCCCTGCCCATGGCGGGGGGGGTGAAACTAGATGATCTTTAAGGTCCCTTCCAACCCAACCCATTCTATGATTCTATGATAATGCTAAGAATTTCAAGAGCCATGTAACAAAAACAGGCTCTGTCATGAATAACTCAAAACCAAAGTAGATCAGCATCAGATGAAGAATGAGGAACAAGAGTAAAATATCCCAGTATTTTTCCCAGTATGCTTCTATGATAGAGCATTACCTTTACCCTTTCATCACTCCATCCTGCCATCCTCCTTCCTCTCTCTAGGCTGCAGTGTCAGTCGGTAAGGCACCAGTCACTCACCGTGGTGACAAAGGGCCCAATAAACTGGACCCTGCTAAGGAAAAGCTGGGGGAGACTGTTTCCCTGGTTAGCAGTATGGGAGAGGTGGGACCCCAGCACTGGCAGTGAGGACCTTTTCAGGGGAACAGCCTAATCCTCTGTTCTACCCTCAGAGTGTGTAAACAGATTTGGCACATCTGAGGCAGCCAAGGTCTGACTCTGGAAGTCACAGCAGGCATCTGGAGGACAGAAACTGCAAGGTAGAGCCTTAAATTGTTGACTTAAGAATCAGCCTCCGAGTAAGGCAGTAAAGAGAGCAAGCCTGGGAGGTAAATGGAGCGCTTGCTTCTTATTGGGACATACTGCAGTCTGGGTGTGCATAGTGGGGCTTAGTTTGAAAATGATCCTTTAGAACTAGGTCCATCTTCAAGGTGAAGTGAACTATCCTAAGCTGGTAGTCACACTATCTGCATTTTATGTCTTGTTTCTGCCTCCTTAGCTCCTGTGCCTGCTCCCCATCTCATGCTGGTCCAGCACCAGTTCTGCCTCTGACAAGCCTCCTTACCTCTCTCAGCGCTCTCATACAATAGATTTCTTCATGTCTGACCACGTTTGTCCTGCTTGTCTGATCCATACTTTTGGCACCAGCTCCCTAACTTTTTGCTATGTTTTTGTCCCAGACTTTTGGTTTGATAGTTACCAGCTGTTCCCGATTCCTGATCAATATACCTCAACTTCATTTCCTGACTCCAAACCCACTTCACACTTGACCTTAGCCTTAAATGCTGTCCCTGATCTCCACATCCAGTCCAATCCCTGGCAAAAGAAAAGAAAGAGCGGGGCCAGTGAAGTGAGAACACCACCGATATCTAACTGTGACTCTGAAGGGAAGCCCAGGAGAATGGGCCAAAGGAGGCAGATAACAAAACTCAGGGGAAACAGTTAATTACATCTTGCTGCAATGAAGGAAGAAAAATATTCCTTAAACATGACACAATGCCATAGGCGAAAGGGATACCAGGGGGCTCTGTTAGTGTGGTGCTGTACTTTGTGGCTTAGAAACTCTGAAGTCTTCTGGTTTTCTGTGATTCTGTGGCTTAGCTATAGATAAGTCCTCAGATACTCTGCAAACTTGCTTGAGTTTGATAGAATAATGTTGATTTACAGCAGCTCTGGGTTTAGATCACCGTGAATGAAGAATGTTAAATGCAGAGGTTCTTGTAAGAAAAATGACTGATAAGAACGTTTTCTACTGTTAAATCGCTTCCCCCACGTTCATCACTGGCTTATTTGTAGAACATGGGTTGGGCACAACGGCAGGGTGGAGAGGAAGCCACACAACTGCATCACATCATCAGGGGTACATGCACTGTGCCAGCTGATCCTAAAATCCTCTCCCTCTCTCCCTCCTTCTTCTGGGCCTTTTTTGAACATTAGAAATGTCACCTTTAAGTTCAGATGTTATTCCTAGTGTGAGCATGAATCAGGTTTTGATAGCACCTTGTATTCAGAATAGCAAAGCTGTTTGCTAGGTTTCTCCTCTCTTGTGAGATTCCCATCAAAATCAGGGAGCGCTTGACTTCGGTCGCTCGAGTATTATTTTGCCTGCAGTTCGCTCTTGACATTACCGTAGGTGGGTAATGATGACAACTAGGAAACACTTATGTTAAGTTTGCACAGGCTACTTTTCCTTCCTTGTGTGTGTGTACATGATGACACTGACTTTACTTCCAGGATGACATAGTTTATTGACAGTATCATGCCTCATCCTGCATTTCATAAGACCGATCAGACGTGCAGCTCAGCTGAGAATGCAGATTCCTACAGTAGGTACCCCAAGTACCACATTATGGTCTTCTGCTTGACCCATAACTGGAGTTTAATGAATTAGAATTAATGTGTACTTTACAACCTTCATTGTTATGCATATAGCTAGAGGCGTCTGAGAAGTGAGAAGGCTTCCAAGTGAACGCTTTCAATGTTGTTAGTTATTTCATAGCAAAACGTAACACGTTTTAGGGGGAAAGGCCAAAGAAACGAGCAAGAAACTTTTCATTGCAGGGGCAAGAGTGAACGGGTGCCACTGGGGAGAGAAGCAGATTGCGTGTCTTGTCAGGAAGGGCAGGCTTGAAGCCACGTCTTGAGGTTAGGTGAATGCAGTAACTGGTGGGTTGATGGTTGAACTGGAGACCTTGAGGTTCTTTTCTTCCTCCATCTAAAGAAACCTTCTTAAACAAAAAGATTTCTTAAAACTAAACTTCTGTGAAAAGCTTACCTTTTGGTAAATCAGAGTTTTCTAATGAAAAGGACTGTGCTGATACCTTCTGGCCAGCTTTGGTTACAGGCCATCTATAAGTTTATGCAGGCATAGTAAGAGCAGTTGGTCTTGAAGAGAGGAATTGCCTTTTTCTATCCAACTAACTAGGGATTGCAAAGGGTTTTCAGTGTGAATTGAATGACTGGAGCACATAAGCCTGATCTGTGGAAATCAAAGCTTTTCATACTAGATGCTTTTATTAGAGATTTTTTATTATTTTCTCCAGTCTAATAAGGGATTTCCTTTGAGGGAGAAGCAGATACAGAGTGGTGGATGGCCTGCTGGGTAAGATGCTGTCTAGACTTCGTTCAAAGTCTGTTCTTCTGTTCCTCTGAATGGTGATGAGGTAGTCAAAGCTGAGTGTCCCTACCATGGATCATTCTTTCTCCATTTCTTTTTTTTTTTTTTGTTTCTTTTTTTTATTCTTGGGAGACTGTATATCTATTAAAAAGAAAGTGGAGAGAAAGTGGAGATTCTGGAATACAAGAAAGCAGCTTGGAAAAGCACATATCATAGAATGGTTTGAGTTGGAAGGAACTTTAAAGGTCATCTAGTCCAGCCCCCTGCAATGAGCAAGGGACATCTTCAAGTACGTCAGGTTGCTCAGAGCCCCATCCAGGCTGACCTTGAATGTTTCCATATATTCTGTGCCCATGTATACAGTTTGTGTCCTGAAAGAGGGGTGGGTACCAACTGTAGATCCAGATGTGGCTACCAGAATACTTTGAGTAGGGAGTGGCATTAGGTTTAGCTCTAATCCTCTAATCTAATCAACACTAGTGCTACCTGCCAGTTTACTGCTTCATTAAACAGTGGCAGCAATCAGATTAATTTAGTGTATACATCTGTTTTCCCTGTTTGTTCTGACTGATGCGGATGGGGTTTGGATGTGTGTATAGATATAAAACAGTATTACAAGGTAAATCAAGCATTCAAGAATGAAGAATGATAAGCTATTAAATTTCACGAGGCTTTTTATGTTTTCTCACACAAGGTCACTCATAGTTTATTCACCTGTCAGGCTTTTCACTGCTCCTGGAGAACTCCTTATCAAGAACTGTTTTATGGACTACTTTGGGTCCATGTGCAGAATTGCAGTGCACTTCTTCGGGGTCCATGGGAGACAGCTCATTCCTGATGCTGCGAACAATTTGTGGTTGCACATCCTGAGCTGCTTGCCTTGTATCAGTAGTACTTTTGCAGTAAATACTGTAGAAAATAGAAACTAATCTTGTTCTGATGCTTAACCAGCTTTTATTTTGCTTAAGCTTAATATTTCCTGGAGTACGGCTGGGCGCTGACAGTCAGTTTAGCGATTTCCTCGATGGACTTGGACCGGCACAGTTAGTAGGACGACAAACACTAGCAACCCCGGCCATGGGTAAGAATAATAGGTTCTCCTCTGTTAAATGAATAATAAGCCAATTAACTGAAGGCACATGCTGCCAGACTACAGCACCAAAAAGACTTTGTAAAAAATGGCTTCCTTCACTGTAAACATAAAGGCCCTATACGGAGTCACTGGTATTCCTAACACGCTAGCATCCAAAATGGGGTGAGAAACAGTATCTGCTGCGCATGTGAGGTGTCTGCTAATCTCCTTTGCAGTTTGAAGGTAGGGGTTGCACTTTACTTGCCACAGATTACGTTGGATGTGACAGACAGTTTTTTGGCCAAACTCTGCACTTGTCCCAGCTTCATTGGAACTAGCCCCAGAATGTGAAACTTCTGCCCATATTTGCAATGCTCAGGAATCAGTTGCTGATAAAGCCAGTGTTTGTCATGAAAGAGACAAAATCCTTATCAACGGAGCTGCCTGGGGCCACCTGTGATCTTCTCTGTCTTCCAGACCAGTCTGCATTTCCCTATAGTAGCATTAGCCGTATCTTGGTTATGAATAGAGTATGAGCGTGTAAGGTAGGCAACAGCGCAGGCTATAAAGTATCTTTGGAAAGGTTTGAATTTTTTTTTTTGCTTATATATGAGCAATTCCTAGACATGCTTTAGGATGCTAAGTGAGGAGTCCTTGATCCACTGCTTTAACTGTACTTCTGCTGCTGGAAATTCTAAATGGCCAGTGCTTCAGTACAGCTGTCTTGGGAGAATCAGCTGCA